GTTAAATGCCTTTTAACTTTCCAACAGAAATAAACATGTTTACAGTCTGGTACAAAAAACGGTTTTGGCATCTATAGCTAATTTCCCCTGACAGCTGTACAGGGGTTAATATTTATATAACTCACCCGTTTAAATTATGTTATGGCGTGAAGTTAAAATTAAAAGGGCATGAAGCTTTGAGTGACACGTGGATGCCGTCACAGGTGGCTAGTCACTAGGTGGTTTCAGCAACTTCAGCAATTTCATTCAGCCCGCCTCAGCGCCACTTGCCCATTTTTGTTCATGCTGGACTCGAGGACCGCCAAGATCATGGTGTGTGGCCCGGCAAGGTCTGTCTGAATCTGTCTGATTTCATTTGAATTGTTTTGGGGTTTTATCAAGTCAAAGCTGAGGACTTTTTTTTCTCCAAGTCTTTAGTCAAATATTTAAGTATGACTCGAGTCCAAATCTCTGCAGCTTTGCTTTTTATTTTCTTTGGCGGATTAAACGGAAACAAGCTTCTGTGTTGCCAGTAATACACACCTTTCAACATGGCCTGAGGTTATTTTTGTGTTTACTCGCGTCTTCAGTAAAATACCCCCCCTAGGTTTTTTTGTTTCTTGTAAATTCATTACTTCAGCTGGGCTCGAATTTCAATAACGTTTTTCCTCTAAATGAGCTGATCTCTTGAGATTAGTTTCAGTGCAGACCTGATAGCACCTCCTGGTCTCTCCACTCCTTCAGAAACCATGGTGGCATGCATGCTGTCCCTGCCAACACTGTATTGTGTTGTATTACAGTGTCGTGCTCTGCTCTGCTCCTGTCTGCCATCTGCCAGTCATATGTACCACCATCTGTTCTTCAAACCAGCCCATAATGTAGCTCGCACTCTGGCATTGTTGGCTTAATTTAAACAGTTATAGTAAAGGCTGTTGATGTTTTATGTCCTGGGAATTTGTTTTGTTTCTTGAAGGACCTTTTATTGTAGATTTGCACAAACATCTCTAATTTGACTTTTTCTGCCTCACATCTCACATATAATTAGACTGTTTTCTGTTTTGGCAGCAACAGAGACCGAAACATATGGCAAGTTTATCTCTCCTCATCGCTGATGCTTTTTGCATTTGTGAAATGCTCTCCATTGTATTCCAGGCTGATCTCATGTCTGCGCGTCCTGGTATGACATACCAGCAAGCAGCAGCATCAGCGGGCGCCTCCTCCTCTATGGAGAGTACATTCATTCCTCTGTAAGCTGTACTCCTCTGCTAACTCTGTCATTACTACCATCTAACCAGTGTAATTACCAACCTGTGTGTGTGTGTGTGTGTGGTGCATGGGCCAAGCCTGCATCATGCAGAGTGAGTCGGAGTGGGTATGAAGGGAGAGAGGGAAGGAGCATGAATGGAAGAGTCATAACAGGGAAGGTACAACCCACAGCTAACTAATTACTATATGTGAGTAATTAAAGTGCAGACATTTAATGCCTTTCATCTTCTGAAGTCTGGGCCAAGGCTGCATGTGTCTGCTTAATTCTTGCTGCATTTGATGGAGATTTTTTTTTTCTCGTGGATTTTTTTTTACCTTTGTAGTTGATAATTATGTTTTGTAGTGCTGTTGATTAATACACCTCCATCTCACCAATGGAGCAAACTTTTCACAGTTAACACCTGAATATATGGTTTGCAGGTATACAGTAAATTGGCATTTTCTGTGCTGTGGAAGTATAGCTGTGGCCCTATACTTTCTGAAAGACAGATTGTTCAAATTTTATTATTCTGATAATTTGGCTCAGGATGAATTACCTGCAAAACGAATGACCATGATTAATTCCCATCAAATTCCGCTGCACTTTTTTTTTGTTGTTGTTGTTCAGGGCTGATTAGCAAATGTTGGCATGCAAAACACAAAACTAAGATGGTGAACATGTTTAAACATCATACATGCGAAAACTAGGCATGTTAGTAGTCATTGTGAGCATATTAGCATGTTGACATACCATTTAGCTCAGGGCATCTCTGTGCCAAAGTACTGTGGACCTTTTAGCCTTGTTTTATTGATGTTGCTACCTGAGAGATGCCCCACAGGTTCACCTTTTCACAGGGACCAGTGTGTATTTCTCCCTTTGGGTCTATTAAATTTAGTCAGATATGTTTTTTGCTCATAGGTTGAGGGGTTGCAGACTCTCTCTGACAGAGGTCACTGATAAAGATCAAACCACACACTCTCCATTGCCTCTCTCATCAGGCACCTCAGACACATAATGAAGCCATTCTGCAGCTCCTGCAGCTGGGGCCGGATAATCTGGGATTGGACCTGATAGGGGATCACAGGACAGCCCTCCGGATGAGGAGAGACTCTGTTAGAAAGCACAATCAGAGCGGGAGCCTTTGGCCCGGAAGTGCCCGTGGTTCTCCAAAAACAAAAGCATGACACATTTGCGTGACTGTATGACTATAGGGGAATTTTGTTTGCTGTGAATGACTTCTGTTGATTGTGCCCGTCTGCGTGTATGAGAGAATGAGTAATGCAGTCTTGCGGCCAAAAATGAATTCAGCGAGGACTCATAAAAGGCGTTGTGTATCATAAAACACACACAAACCACACTGAGCTACCCTGACACAATGAAAGCTCGACTTTATGCAAATTGGACGTCATAACAAGATAGTCACCCTAGGAGTTGACATTTGTGTAATACAAAAAAACTGAGGCAGCTGCCAAGGAGACAAGCACAGATTTGTTCATCCAACAAATTGTTCCTAATGTACAATTTCTGCAGGCTAATAAACTTACTAGAAGTGTTTAGCAAATGTTTGGCTCCTCCCTTCAGACAAGTATAGCCCCTGCTTTTTAGACCCCAGTGGTTCCATGTGTAACAGCAGTATCAGTGAAATTGATTAAAATTGTATGTACTTAGATGCGAGTACAAATGATATTACAAGTGTGTGTGTGTGTGTTTCATTGCTTTTAGTTGAATCATGATTTAATTCCTTAAAGCTTTTGTCTGAAGAGTAAAAATTGTACCTCTCCTTTTATTAGCTGTGGGAAAACATTTTTACACGTGTGGAAATTGAAAGGTCAGTCTGAATGAAATGTAGGGTTGAATCACATATTGTGAATGCAGACATCAGGAGCTACATGCAAGTTAAATACAGACGATGGACTAGCATGATGCAGGAATATGGAGAGGAAAAAAGACCTAGTAAGAGGACATTTTAAAAGGTAGACATACAGATGATGTGCATTTGCCCTCTGAGCAAATTTAGTGAAGATATTTGAATGACTATGGGGGTTTGAGGAGAGACTTGCATAGATAAAGGAGCTTTAATGCAGGAACGGAGACCTAAATAGAGAATGAGATTAGACAGAAACTCGAGAATGGAAATGGAAGGAGTAAGGAAGAGTAGCACTAGATACATTAGCGGTTTGACTACAGCAGAGACGGATGAATTAAGCACATTTAGCTCAAAATATTTTAAACCCTCCTGTAATTGACTTGTTTACCATGTTGTGGAGTGTAATCACTATCTGCAGGTCATAAATGCTCCAGGCCGCATTCGTTTAATCAATTATATCATTAGAAATTGTTATATTCTGCTTGCAAGTACTAAAAAAAGTTATATAATAATAAAATAATTCTAGATCGTATTGTCCCTACTGGTTTTCCACTTTGGCCAGTATGATTGTGAAACAGATATTAAATTGCATTCTGTGTGGTATTAAAAAGGTTAACTTGGTAAACCCTGGTAATAGGAACCAAACACATACAGTACACTTCACAGTTGTGCAGTGCTGCCCATATCCCACCGCAGCTCTCTCGTCATTGTTTGCTGTGTTCATCGTAATATTCTTGAATATGAATTCTCAGCCAGTTACTCTGAGTAACCACAACATTCCCAGCCCAAAAACATATAACCATGGCTTGGGAGTTTTGTCTAGATGATTCAGTCAGCTGGTAACAAGTGCAGCACTGGTAAAGATTTAGCTTTTTGGATCACCAAACCTTAGACATTAATATAGTGTATGTATTCCTGCAATGATGTGTGAAGACATATGCAACCCACCCTAAAATCATTACATTAAACCTCAGGAGAGACATAAGATGCTTCTGACTAAAAAAGAGTCTTTACAAGGATGGTGGATTTTTTTTGTTCTTTAAGACTTGATGCAATGTGACGGTCACATTAAAACACTCCACTGTGGTTCACTGAGCAATGTACCGCTCTCCTCCTTGCTCTTTTTTGACTCTGTCCAATCACTCTATTTCTGGATTCACCCCACCTCATCCTTCCAGCTGTTGGGTCACTCTGTGCCCTCACCCTTTTCTGTCTCTCCCGAAGTCCCTATTCATCTCCTCGTCTCAAAGTTGTAGTAGGTTGTTGTTTGGCTTCACTTCACTAGAATAGAGTAGCTTCTGTGTCGGGCATTCAGCCATGTGGAGATCAGTTCCAGTGTGATGACAATGAGACTCTAACACACATACAAGCTATATCATCACTGTGGGTAGTGAGCACCGGATGTGCTACAGTGCTGAAGTGTTTCAATTGTGTGTCTTCGCCCTGTATGGATCTGTAGTACTTTATAGTCGGATGATATTAGCTGAAGTGTTTTCAGTGGTTTTAATCTGCAGTAGAGCGGCCGCAGCCTCCTTGTCCTCCGGGTATATGAGTGTTTGCGTGTGCATGCACATGCACTTGAGTGCACAGTGTGTGATAATAATATCCCTTGTCAGCCTCCTGAAGATTAGCCGCAACGGGAGAAATCCTCTGTCATATCCCCTCACCTTATTTTCTGTCTCTCTCTCTCTCTCCGTCTTATCGGTTTTACATTATTTTACAGTTGAGTGGCTTGCTTTCTGAATCCAGTGCTCAGTTTTTCTTTACATCTGTGGAAAAAATGTGGGTCACACAAAAGGGAGCTTGTGTATTTCAGTTTTAATTGGTTTTAATTTTAGATTTTGTGCTCATTGTCTGAAGCTGATTTGTTGGAATGATTGATTTTCCTTTGTTTTTGTCTTTTCTCAGATCTGCATTCGATTGAAAACAGACCCAGAGGAAGAGGAGGACAAACTGGTCATCAATGGACCAGTGAAGGCTTTCCCACCCTGCCAAGTTAAAAGCGATGTTTTTGAGAGCTGGAGGCCGTAGCACCGTCAGCAGAGTGTGTGTGGGGCCCCTCCTCTCCCTCTTTCCCAGCACCCCTCCTGACATGGGATGCCAGGCCCCTGCCTCCCTGCCCTGAACTCTCTTGGGGTGCCATGAGCAGCTATAGAGACAGAGGGGTCACTTGCACCTCCTCAGACCTCCTGGATGACGGAGGAGGAGTACTGACCCAGCACATTACCTTTCATCACACCTCCAATGGACACCCGCCTCCTGGCCCCAAAACACGCATGCCCATAATGGGTGTCCGGGCGCAGATTGCAAAATGGCCCCCACGCCGTGCCCAGTCCAGGGAGTCGCTGCTTGAAAATGGGCAAATTTGCAACAACCGCCACGGAGATGACTTCTCCACTTCAGTTTCCTCGTCGGTCTTGTCATCGGACGTCGGGTTGGTGCGGGGAGGAGTTGCCAGGTTGCCACGAAGACGGTCCAAGGATGTAGAGTTCAGAGGAGGAGGTTTTGTCGGCGAAAGAAGTTCCCCTTTTAGCCTGAGAGTGTTCCCTCCACTGAGACAGCGCTCGAACAGTGAGGTGACGCTGAGCGAACAGGACGAAAATGAGGTGAGTCTACAGTCGCTCTCACACCTGTAGTCTGGTTCATGGAAGAAATTATGTTGCCTTTTTAGTTCTGTAGCGTTTTGCGTTTACACTGTTATATTGACTCATAGGTAGCTCTGTCATTGGACGGTTTTGTGATGTCATCCTGCTTCCTCAGTGCTACTTTGACCCATGTGGCACTTTTGTGGAGCCAATGTGTTGATGTATCATTTCTGGTGTCACAAAGAGCTCACAAGATTATGAGCTGCCACTCAGCCTCATGTTAAGTATAATGATAAATAGGACTTGTTGTCATTGCCAATTAATCTGTTGATTGTTTTCCCTACTCAATGATTATTTGTTTGGTCTATAAAATTCCAGAAAATGGGGGAAAAATCTCAATCAGTGTTTCCCAAAGCTCAAACTGACGTACTCAAATGTCTTTTTTGTCCACAACCCAAAGATATTCAGTTTACTGTCATAGAGGAATAAAAACTATTCACATTTAAGAAGCTGGCAAAAAAAGAGGCATCTTGTACTTTAATATTGGGTGGGAATGATACAATTGGTTCACGAGTCGAGAAGGTACATGATATTGGGTTCACAGAAATGAGACAGTACTTTAACACTACTTTATAAAATGATCTTCAACAATGAACTAGAAAAAATTGTCTTTTATTCAGGTGAGTCACAAAGTCACAAAATGCATTACAGTGCAGGTTCATCTTGAAATGTTGCTTACATATTGTTCATGGCTTGTCTGTCACTCCGCCGCCGTTTATTGTTTACCATCCAAAATGCTGTCACGAATGATTTAAAAGTGGTGGGGGCATCATGCTGATATCGTGAGACAGCTTTTTACCTCGACAAGAAATATCATCATATTGAAAATATCGTGAGATCTCGTGCTGTGAGATCTCGTCACACCCTAGTAGTTAACATGTGGTCGCTATATTTCACAACTCTACTCTGTTTTAATTTATTTTCACTTTCTGATATATCAAGGAAAATCTCTACACTGACGTGGTCATGCAAAATACAGTATCATTGTTACCAAATGATCTTAACGAATAGTTCATGGCACAGTTAACAGTAGTTTAGCTTTTGAATTCATGCACAATTCACACTGTCATAAAATCCTGTGGTTGGTCTGCTTTGCTTTTACACCTCAAGCAAACCGATTTGTTTTGTATCCACTGATGGTTCACAAACTGATAAATCTCTCCTCTTTCTGCTCCAAGGTGGAGGTTCGCGGAGGTGGTGGGATGGGGAACATGTTCAGAGAGTATGGCAGCACCTCCTCCATCGACGTCCAGGGCATTCCTGAGCAGAGCTTTTTCGACATGCTCAGCCAGTTCCACCAAGAGAGGCCTGACCAGCGCAGCGCAGCACCTGTACGCCTCGGGGAGCTGCTGAGCACTCCAGACTCACCACCAAGCGCACCTCTCCCCTCCGCTCCCTCACCTGGTCCCACAGGTGGGGACGACAGAGGGACAGGAAGGAAGGAGGGAGCTGAGAGAGTGAGGAAGAAAAGTGGAGGAACGGAGTCGTCACTGGGCACCTCCTCTTTATTCAGGAAACTTAGAAGCTCTAGTCGCGGTGAGCTGGACGGAGGTAAAGGGGAGAATAGCGAGGACGGGGTAGGCCGGGGTTCAGGAGACGCCTCCTACAAATCGTGGGTGTGCCCCAAGAGCTTTGTCCATTTTGATGCTCAGAGCATCCTGTTTGACCTCCACGAGGCTGCGGCTCAGCGGGGCTACGCCGCCCTGAGGAGGAACACAGCCACTGGGGCATCAGCTGCTTCAGTGTCCCTGTCTGTCTCCAGATCCTCAGCTCCCAATGTGAACGACCCAGTTTACTCCAGCATAGAGGACCTGACCCTGAGCCATGACCCCGGCTCCATGACACCCTCCCTGAGCATGGACCCCTTGGACGGGCCTCCTGGAGCCCACAACTCGAGCCAACTGCTCCTCTGCTGCCCCCACTTCCTCAATGAGACTGGGGGCCACGGAGAGCGCAACATTAGTTTCCTCAGCTCGTCAGCAGAGCGAGGAGGAGACGGAGGAGGAGACAGCGCGAAGGGTTGGCTGAGGAGGAGCAACGCCAGTGTTTCAGTGCTGGAGGTGCCTATTGAACAACAAGTTACAAGACTGGACAGACTGAAACTGTACAGCATAGAGCACGTCGACCTGGGGGCCAGGTACTTCAGAGACTACTTCCATGGGAAAGGTAACACTGAGACACATACATTTTGTTTTAACTGTTTAATGATGCTTAAATAGTTTTTATTCCAGTTATGAAAATGGGTAAAAGCAGCATTAATTCTCATGCACACAATGAGACCATACTTCATTTAGCCAAGGCAGGTTTATTTCCACAGCACCAAAACAAGGCATTTCAAATTTCTTTACATAAGACATAAAAGTGCATTGTGACAACATGTAAGTAGAATAAAGCTAACAAGTGATGAATGAGCCATCTGGACGTTAAAGATTCACTTTTTACTTTAATATAGCACATTAGTGCTGAAATATTTGGTTGAATAATTTGTAAATTAGGTAGTGAGTGAAACTCATAGAATGGAATCAGTCGAAGGCTACAACTAATGATTACATTCATTATTGATTACTGTGATTTATTTAATCAGTCAGTTAAATGTGTAATTTATAAAATGTCACAAGATTACGAAAAATGTCTAACAACAATTTTCTGTAATCCAAGGTGACATCTCTATTTGTTGGTCCAACCAACAGTCCAAAATCTCCCAAAATTTCAGTGTTTTCCGTCCATGCATTTAAGCGATTAATCGATTATCTAAGTCAGTGGTTCTCAAACGTTTTCACATTAAGGACCCCATTTGATAAGATTTTGTTCCAGGGTCCCCCATGTGAAAGGAGTTTTGCTTTTAGATGTTTTATCACAGAAGGTTTATGGAAGCCAAGAACCAAGTAGTCATACATTCTGTCATTATGTTACTTACGGATGGAATTATATCAGAAATAAATTTTTCACCCTTTTTGCTAGGGACCCCCTGGAACCCCATTAGGGACCCTTGGGGTGTAACTGAAACCCATTTTGAGGACCACTTATCTTAGTAGTTGGCAATGGGGTTCAAGTTCCTTTGTCTGTATCTCTACTGTCTCTATCAACTAAAGCCAAATTGTCGGTTGCCTAATCGATCAACTAATATTTGATGCGCATATTGCTCAACATTGCAGCCGTGTTTACATCATCCCACATCATCTGTACTTTCACACATCTGCTCATTGCATCCAGGCGTTCCATACATTATCCACAGGGACTCGATATTAGGTAGAATTTAATAATGTATCACATAACCAGGTCTCAAAGCGATTAATCTTTCATACTCTGCTTCCAGCTTTTCAAATGTGAGGATTTGTGGCTTTTTTCTTTATTATAAACTGAATATCTTTTTTTGGTCTGTAGATCAAACATGACAAGCAACGTGAAGATGTTCACTTTCTTTCTTTTTTTTTTAGGCTAAATGATTAGTGAATTAACCAAAGTAAAAAACGATATACCACATAATTTAATTAATTAATAATGAAAATAATATTGAGTTGCAGCTTTTGCCAGAACAGCTAGTTAATTAATTAATTAGTCCAATCATCAGTAATATGTATTATATTTTGATTGAATAATTGTCTAACTATTTTCTAAGCAAAAATGTAAACCATTGTTTCTTTCCAGGTGCTCAAATGTGGCAATGTGCTGCTTTACTCTGTTTTTATATCATTATAAATTTAAAAACTTTGGGTTTTTTTAATTCTGACATTTTGTTGAGGGAACAATAATCACACAATTATCAGTAGATAAATCAATAATGAAAATAATACAGAATCTATCTATCTTATTTCAATTAGAAAGCATCGATCTCGTCTTTCCGGCCAGTTTCTCCAATGTCATTCCCCACATGTCATCCTGCAGCTGTAAATATCCAGCTGCGTCTGAGCAGAACAGAGTGGGCCAAGCTGGCAACGTTCCCGGAGTTTTATTACTCGTGTACCTGCCGCTGGACTATTGGCAAACTCTGAGCTGATGAAACGCCACCTGCCCTTTTTGCACCCTCACAAGTACCGCTTACTGTAACATCAGTTGGCCACTGCAGCTCTGCTTTACATCTGGTTTTCAGTGTCAGAAGTAACACCCAACTTCAGAGAGGTTCACATCACCTCTTCAGACACTGGGGATGAAAGCGTCCCCTTGGTATCTTAGCATCATCTGGCTGCGCCCTAATTAGAGACAGATGCTGTTAGGAGAACATGTGTGAGAGAGAGAGAGAGAGAGAGAGAGAGAGACAGGCCTGCAGTCACACAGATAAAGGTTATCGTTCCCAAAATATGTTCATCTGCTGACTCGTTTCCAGCGTAGCTGTCCCCCAGAACGCAACTGTGATTGTGTGGTGTGATGTGCCCTGTGTGCACGTCAGAAAGCCTCATCAAAAAGCTGACATTTTCACCACAGGACATGGCATGGAATCTAAGCAGGCCTGAGACTCCCAATGTGTACATTGTCCCAGTTCTTTCCAGGCAGACGGGGGATAGAGGAGGAATACTTGTCAAGCGAGTGTCTGGAGTTTTTGTCTTACGACTCCTACACTGCCCACAGCGTTGGCATTACCACGGCTTAGCTTAGGAGCTTTAGAAGAGGCCGTGCAAGATGCTCATGAAGTGTGTCTCAGCCTCTTAATGGATGTATATATTTTGTGTGCCAGCATTGTTAACAAGACAAAGAATGTTGATTGATCGACGACCATATTTTGTTAATTTCCCAGATTTACAAGACTGAGGACATATTTGTTCCTATATATTCTTATCGTTAAACATGGACTCTAATTGTATTTGATCAAATCCTATGTTTTTGTTGTCCCTACAACCACCATCAGGTACCGACATTCACCGCTCACCCCTTCCTTGCCAAGCAAGGAGGAGAAGCTAAGGTGGCCGACACGCTCTGTCGGCTCCTGTGCTAAATAATACGTGTTATCCAAATTCTCTTCTTGTCTTACTTCTAATAAACCAGACGACTACTACTATGCTTGTTTTTCGTACGTATTCAACATAGTGACGATGTCCATGTAAGAGAACCCGCGGTGTATGTAGATAGAAATGGTTCATTCTAAGGTAATAAAAACATAACGGGTCATTATGTAAGATCTTTATACACCATAGAAAACTATATTATATTGCATTTCTGTCAAAAGATCTTGTTAAATATAACACACTGAACCTTTAAAACAAATTGCCTGTTTTCAGTTATGCTATCGCTGTTCCTTAATTTATAGATTATAAATATAGATATTATATGTTATTGTTCTTGTGTTTATAGATTATTACCCTTATTCTTCTTAGCTTTGTAGTTTGTTGTTTGTTCGATTGTATGTTTTGTCATTGTTATGTTTATTATTTTGTCTCGTACTGTTCCGTTTTCCATTTGTTTTGTGAGTGTTTGTCTGGGACTGCCTTGAAAATGAGATGTTACATCTCAAGGGTTTTATCCTGAGATAATACCTTTCAGTCATATCGAAACCAGTATTTTCACGTGATGCTCATCCTTTACTCTCTATGTCTGTAAACCAACAAGCCGTCCTCACGTATTCAACCACGGATCAAACGTTAGTGAGTGAATAAACTTTTTCTCCCCCAGCACAAACCTTAACCTCAATCTCTCCCTGGCCTTCACAGAGCACTCAAACTACTTTGGGACAGATGAGAAGTTGGGTGCTGTGGCCGTGAGCATCCGTAGGGAGAAACTGGAAGACACCAAAGACCTGAAAGACCAGTACCAGTACCGCCTCATCGTCAGAACTAGCGAGGTATGTACCATCTGTCCTTTGTGTGTGTTTGTCCTGGAGATTACAGTGATGAGTCAGTAGTATGAGCGTGCACGCTTATGTTAATTCCTGACCTACTTTCATTTTACCTTCCCTTTATGTCCCTACCTGTGGCTCTCCTCACCCTCTCTGCCCTGACTTTAACCTCCCCTCCTCACCTCCTCTCTCCTCTCTGCCAGTGGAAAATTCCACCTACCCAGTCACAGCACAGCAAAGCCAAACCAAACACAGGCTGCTCTGGCCTAAGCGTTTGGCCTGCTCTCAAAGGGAGCACACACAACCACTTTTCCACTTTGATGGATCAAATACTCGTAATGTATTAAATGATGGGCTGGTGATCATGGAGAATTAGTTAAGAGTTTCCCTTAGATGTGTTCAAAGACTCGACTACAAACAGGTCATTTACGTTCATTTACTTTCAGAGATTCTGCTTCCAGAGCGCCAAACTTTGGATTTTAAACATTTAATGCGGTGTCAATATGAGCTTATTATCTACATACAATTAATTTGCAGCTGTTCTCATAAGCAATTAATTGTTTGAGTTACCTGTTAAGCAAAACCACCAAATATTCACTGGTTCCAGTTTCTCAAATGTGAGGCTTTTCTTTGTCTTGTGTGATATTAAACTGAATACCTTTGTACTGACTTTGTACAACATTTCAACACGTCACCTTAATCTGTCTCTTGGAAACTAACACAGGTTGTGTTAAAGAGTTCTGAGGTCTCTGTTAAATAGTTAGTTTGAACTAATTAATAGCACCTGTGTAGCATTGTCAAGGTCACTCAAACAAAGTGATACTTTTATTACAGTGAACAAACAGCAACGTTTGCCTCCGATCACTGTGTTCATGAAGTGTCTTCCTCTGTGTGGCTTGCGCTGTGTTGTTCTTAGCAGGATTACATGGCTGCCTGGCCTCATCACCTTAGCTCCGGTATAACAATGGAGCCTCTCCGCCATCTAAGTACACAGAGCTCAGCTAGCAGACACAGCCAGCACACCCAGGCCTACTGTTCCCACACAGGAGGAAAAAAAAAAGGGAGAGAGATTGATTGCCGACTTTATTCTCTCCCACTCAAGCCGCAGCTGCTCTCAGATATCCACCCCCCTAAAGTCTGTCACTTAATTCTGTGCAGGAGTGCTGACACAGCAAGGTGGAGAGACTTCCTTTTTCTCCCTCCATCACACATTTGTACACACCGCCCTCTGATGTTCTTGCTCAGTGAGTCGCAGTCATTCGCTGTCGCACAGAAGCTGACGAGTTGAAACGGCGGCTCCATAACTTCAGCTGTGTGTCAATCAGGTTTCAATTTTCTGCGGCACACCTTGAGACTCTGAGGTTCAATTTGTCTCTCTGGTCCCTGCCAGCTCCAGAGTCTGCCATGCATTATTAATGAAGCAGCGCGCGCACACATGTGTGTGTGTGTGTGTGTGTGTGTGTGTGTGTGTGTGAGTGCAGTGAGAAGGAACAGCCCACTCCTCCCAACTTTGTCTGAGGTTGTTATAGTCTCACTGTTTTGATGCAGGTCAGTTTCCCCTCACCAGGGAGCAGCACTCTGTGGCAGCACAACACTGAGCAGAATATCAATTTACAATACCATCCTCATTTTAACTGTTTGTGTGTGTGTATAATGTGTTTGACAGAATGAAAAAGTGTAGCTTCAGGGCAGCAAGGCACTATTATGAGTAGTCATCCCTCATGTGATGGACCCACTTCAAGCTCCCAGGCTACTATTCATCCACCCCTCCATTTCCAGAGCCTCTGACCTCATTAATGACACTATCTTAATATCAATAGTATTATTTCGTATGTTTTTCTTGTGTAACTGTTTGCCCAGGCTAGGTCTCAGTCAGACCTATCTGTCACCCTGTATTTGTATTGTGTTTTCAACAAGCAGCATACAGCTCTTCACGAGTGAGACAACACAAAATGTAGAATTATAATAGCAAATATGTGAAATACAATACAGCTATACACAACACAAGAAGGGTTTAATGGTTTAACACATACCAATAAAGAAAAAATATAAAAGCTAATCAAATGAAATTCCTTTTATTTTTACGTGTTCGAAATCAGCAAAAGAAAATGGATTCATTTCTTGACCGTTTCAGTGTAATTTTTAAAATTTTATTGTGTTCTTATCTAATCTAATGAATACATTACATCCAGTTTGACTAAATGTTTTATTTCCCCACCTTTAGCTTGTGACCCTGCGAGGCTCCATTTTAGAGGATGCGGTGGCGTCTACGGGGAGGCACGGCACGGTGCGGGGTCTGCCGCTCAAGGAGGTCCTGGAGCAGGTCGTCCCCGAGCTCAACATCTCCTGTTTGAGACTGGCATTAAGCACACCCAAAGTCACCGAGCAGCTCCTCAAACTGGACGAACAGGGGGTGTGTTATGTGTGTGGAAATTTGTTAGTTGATCGCAGCTGCAATGATGCCTCCATTTAAATAGTTTCTGCTAGTCAGGCTTGCTAAATGACTGCAGATCAAATGATGTGAACTGATAAAGTAACCCGGTGACATATGGTATGCTCAGATATTGTGTGTTAAAGTGTCTGAAATCTGTATAACTGATTTAGTGTTGGTGCAGTGAAAGCTGAGTGACTCAGGGTGTGGTGTGTTTGAGCATGAGTGTGTAACCATAAAAGCTTTAATGTTTAGCCATGTTATCTCACCTTATTATTTAATGGAGGGTGAAGTGCAAGGCGGAGGTGTTTGGCCAGCCATAGGCTTGTTTTTGTTGATGTGGGTGGTTTATACAACAATGTAGCTGTGCTCAATGTGAGTGTTTTTAAGTGCATCCAGATATACATTCAGGTTAAATTCCTACCAGTAACATCTACTTTGACATTAAGTTGCATTAGAAGCACAAGGTTCAGACTGCGGTGTTTCATCTGTGTGTGTAATGGTAATGTTATCTCTCTGCTGCCTCGTAGTTAAGTCAGAAGCACAAGGTGGGTGTTCTGCTGTGCCGTGCAGGCCAGAGCACAGAGGAGGAGATGTACAACAACGAGGAGGCGTCTCCCGCCTTCTCTGCCTTCCTGGAGCTGCTGGGGGAGCAGGTGCTTCTCAAAGGATTCACCAAATACGCTGCACAGCTCGACACAAAGAGTAAGTCTAAACAAGAGTCCCTTTTAGACATGCACTACGGTCCATACGGTCCGCAAATTTTAAATGCTGGTCACGTGTCTGAATAAGCACCTGAGTCACTTTTACATAAAAGTCAATTTAGTTAAATTAATTTTATTTATATAGTGCCAATTCATTATAGAAGTGATATCATTGCACTTTTCATATAAAGCAGGTCTAGACAGTACTCATTGTAATTCCCACCATGAGCAAGCACTTGGCTACAGTGGCAAAGAAAAACTCCCTTTGAGGAGGTAGAACGAGAGAGTTAAGATGGTAGTAGCTTTCACCATGGCACATAATCCAGATTTAATGCCATCAGATTAATGTAAAAGCACAAGGTTATACATGCACTTCTCATTTGCCATTTTAAGTTCACTGTAATAAAAGTACCACTTAATCATCATCTCCTACGCTCAGAGAAAAATAAATCAGTTTAGCTATGTTCAGCTTTCGTTCATGCAGTTAGGTTTACATAGCAGAATGCTTCAGATTAAATGTCCAAACTGAATGTCTTGTGCGCAGAATAGGCAGCAACTTTATCTGTCAGCAAGGGAATTGATAGAGACCTTTATTTATCAAACTCACAATGGCCAATAGTTACAGGAGCGACCTTTTTTTATCCTTTACTGATGTGAGGGAACAGAAAACACTTCTCCTCCTAAACAGAACAACAATTTCCTCACTTGTTCTCCAGCAGTGAGCGTAGTGGCTCTTTCCTTTACGGCCCTTTCATGCCTTAATAAAGCCGTGACAACATTTGAGTAAAAGACACCTACAGTATGTCTGAATGACAGAAAACTATAACTTTAAAACATAGATGCACTGTTACGTGTGAGTAATAGCCAGGCCAAGTGTCATAACCACAGCTCTGAGTCCTCATGATCACTGGAAAAAGTTTGGGCTCTAATTCTGGATATCTTTCTCCTCTTACTTTGTTCAGCGGACTCTACGGGCACCCACTCCCTGTACACCACCTACCAGGGCTACGAGGTCATGTTCCACGTGTCCACCATGCTGCCGTACATGCCCAACAACCCCCAGCAGGTAAGAGCTTATGAGTACACCTACCTAAATAAAGCACCATCGCCATCATGGTAGAGGTGCTTATCCCAAGTCCACGTCGTGTCTCAAGTCTTTTGAGGATGAGTTTCAATTTAAGTTTCAAGTCATCTGAAAAATCCATCCACGACTGTCCTTTCTTGTTACCCACAGTCTTTTAAAGTCTGTGTGGTTGTTAGCAAAAGCCTCTGCGTCTCCAGGTCATAAACCACAGCAAGAATTCATCAAGTGGAAACTCGTCACTTGTGTCACCCTCTTCATTTAGAACCTCTTTCCTCATTTATTCAGCCTCTCGTGTTTTTATAGTCTTTATTCTCCCTATTTGGCTTTTCTTTTCTCTCTTACTTACTGGCTTTTCTTTTTTTTTGCGCCTCATTCTTTAACTGGATCAGAGTTGGGTGGGGTTCAGTAGTGAGTACTTTCTTTATTTTCTCCCTCTTTTTTCTTTTACTTCTGCTGCCTTCCTACACGTTCTCTTGGGCACTGTGTGTTTGCAGCGTGGGCTGCGTGTAAGTGACCTGTGTGTAAGATAGTGTTTTTGCGTGTTGGTATTTTTTAATAGTGCATAAGTGTTTGCATGAGAGGCTCACACGGGTGCTCAGACAGGCCCTGTGGGTGCTTAGGAGTAATGTACACAGTTTGTAATGTATGAGTGCATCACTGCAGAACAGTGTGGGCTGGGGAGAAGTAATTTGTTCTTCCTCAAACATTAAAAAAACATCATACATTAATGTTGTGAATTAGAGAACTACACACAACAATCTGTTCTTTGGGATTGTAAACAAGCTTTTTTTGACAGTTACAAGTAAACAAGAAATGTGAGGGTTGCACATTTTAGCTGAGGAAATTAAAAGTGTGTTTGAACAGTTCATATTACTATCAGCTTTTAAATCAGAACGTGTGCTTTTATAAATGGCACAATAACTCCATCCAGAGGTTTAGAGACTGCAGCAGCGAGGAGGTTTACTTGCTCAGATGAACCTCTAGGTGGCAGCATCTGACATTATAAAATAAACCTGCAGTGGATGAACAGGAGGAATGAAGTAGAAATTAAGTGTAGATAGAGTGAAGGCCCTTAGATTCAGGAGAGAGGAAAAAGAGAGCTCAAGCAAGGCCTGAACAATCATCCTGTATGATGAAACGTACAGTAAAGCAATATATAAATTAATAGAAAATTGTCAAGATGTTGAGAAAAGATCCCAAATGTAAAATAAAACAAGCTTCTTTTTCTCTGAAATGATCAATTCTAACAAGTATAGTTTATGTTTGTAAACACTACATCTAGCAAAGTAATCCAAATTAGCAGTCTAATTGTGACTGAAGGATGCTTCTATGGCTCCGTGCTGGAGAATGTGTGTATCTGTGGCCAAACAGTAGGTTGCATTACATAATTGGTACTTTCACACTTCCCTCTGCGGATGAAGAGAGGATTGGCAAGCACCGCGCCAAAGACACAGCCTGGACTCTGTGCCACGGCTCCTACACGAACACAGATAGACGGACAAGCCAGCACACAGACACAAATAGCCCACACAGAATCCGAAAAACAAATTACATAAAGAGCTGTTGTTTGGTGTCTAGTAGTGAACGTCTCAATCTCTCATTTTGTTGACAGTCAGTTGTGTCACTGCCAGTTATGTGAGCTCATTTTATTAATTTGTCATTTTTTATCTCCTCTTCAGCTCTTGAGAAAGAGGCACATAGGGAACGACATTGTCACCATAATCTTTCAGGAGCCAGGAGCGCTGCCCTTCACCCCTCAGAATATCCGCTCACACTTCCAGCATGTCTTTGTCATTGTCCGTGTGCACAACCCCTGCGCCGAAAGCACCTGTTATAGGTAAATGTTTTGAACAGAACAAGCGCATGTTCGTATACACACAGTTATGATAGAAATGACAGTTTCTCATCGTTTCTTTCAGTGTTGCTGTGACCAGAATGAAGGATGTGCCTCCCTTCGGCCCACCCATCCCCAGCGGTGTCACCTTCCGCGACCCAGAAACCTTTCGTAACTTCCTTCTAGCCAAAGTTATCAATGCAGAAAATGCAGCGCACAAATCAGAGAAGTTCCACACCATGGCAACGCGAACACGGCAAGAGTACCTGCGTGACCTGGCTGAGAACTACGTCAGCAGCACGCCACTCGACTCAGCCGGCAAGCTTAACAACCTCATCTCCCTTGCGTCGAAAAAACGCGAGCGTACCAAGGCAAGAGAGGGAGCGGAGCTGGGAGCTGCTGGGGCTGTCGCCTGGAGGGTCCAGGCCCAGGACTTCAGCGAAGGAGGGACGGAGCTGCCCTGTGCCTTGGGTTTGTCGGCTGAATACATCCTCCTGACAGACTGTTCCACTAAAGAGGTGGTGTTTAACTGTTTCTGTGCGGACGTGATCGGGTGGACGCCGGAGCGGCTGGCGCTGAAGATCTTCTACGGCAGAGGAGACCACATCGCAGTGCGGGTACCAGAGGGCTGCGCGCAAGACATCAGGGAAATGGTGCAAAGATTAAAGGTGAGAGTTTAGAGTTTGTTCACGTGTGGATTGATAGTGACTACCAGAGCAGAACATGTAACTCTCTGGGGTCTTTGAGGCACATAGCTCACATTGTATTTGAGACCAATGTGTGTAGTAGGACAACTGGAGTTTAGTTATAGTAACATAAGTTATACTTACATGTTTCTCACAAAAATACAGTGCGTGTATTGAGGCCTGACTAAAGTGTCAAATGCAAACACTATAAAATACTTGCCAGTTTATTTGAACATCTTACATCTCTCTCCCTACTTATTAACCATCGTGTCTTTATCAGCACTATTTATATTTTTGTTGGAGATAATACTGTGAATTTTAGCCCCACAGTGCAAAAATGTGTCTTCAGGCCACCTAAAGACCTTAAATAGACTCCTGTCAAGTGTTTTGTTAAATATGGGATTTGTTACAAGTTTATCTTGGAAAAATTTAAATTGTTTTCATTTCAAGACCGTGTCACACAGCATTAAAAGCAGGGGATTCCTACATGGGTATTTTTTTCCCAGTCCTTGAAAGTTCTCCCCAGCACCCTGGAAAACCTGGAAATTCAAAACAGTTTTTACACTCAGGAACAAAAACAATGCAACTTACAGGAGCAACTGTGAAGATAATTACATGAAGTAGTAGTAGTGTTTTTTTAATGGCTCTGGACAATGTATAATGTAAATATGTACATAAGTTAACAAAGCTAATAAACCAGGCTTGTTAGATTCATATAAAAATATAAACACAAATATAATATGGCATGAAGGTACTCTATGCAACATATAATAAGTTAGACTACTGCATGCACTGGCTGATCATATTGTGATAATCCCTGTACAATTTGATGAATTAAATGCTAGGAAAAGGAGATTTCCTGGACTCGAGCAAGCTTTGTGTTAATCTAGCAGAAAAACTAAATATTTTCAATGACTTAATCTTTCTAAAAATACCAAATACATGCATAGACTGATAAGGTTCTCAGAGAGCTGGCTGAAGTAGTTTCCGGTGATGTCGCTTGGTACTTTGTGTGCATATTGATAGCTGTTATTGATGGATTTCTGTATTAAACGGCCTTCAAATTTGATTCTGCAGGCGGTGAACCTCCCCTTTCAGGCTGATTTTATGGTGTTTGTTTTGGAAGATACCCCGAGACATGGTAATACTGTAAATCTAATCTCTTTTTATTCACATCATATCCTCTCCTTGCCAGTCGTTGACAGTGGGATGTGAGACGGTGGATATGACTCTGAGAAGAAACGGACTGGGACAGCTGGGCTTCCATGTTCGCCTGGATGGCACTGTGGCTGAGGTACCTTCAGATGACCATCTGCCACACCAGAACTCATATCATAATGCTCAACTATGAAGATTTCTTGGCTTTACATAAGTGGCTTGTTTGAAGGCTTTTTTGTGGTTTTCTCATGCAGGTGGAGGAATACGGCTTTGCCTGGCAGGCGGGACTGAGACAGGGCAGTCGGCTAGTAGAGATCTGTAAGGTGGCCGCTGTGACGCTGACTCACGAGCAGATGATCGACCTGCTGAGGACGTCGGTGACGGTTAAAGTGGTCATCATACCGCCGTACGAAGAGGGGGGGCCTCGCAGGTGTGTGAAAGTCTGCGTGTTGTATTTCTTTAAAGCTAAATTAATGAGTGATTCATTTTTAAATAGTTTTGGTGAATACAGATGTTGAGGCAGTAGGTGACAATATAGGGGGAGGGCGCCAAGTGCTTAGCAGGCAAGGACAAGAGTGAGTGCAGGGACGCTCCTCACTCAAACACATGGTGAGATAGTGGCTAGACTCCAATGTTCTGAGAGGATTTTGTGTGGGAGTGTGTGAAAAGAGGAAGCGAGCGAACAGAGAGAAAGAACGATGTGTGGTTCAAGAGGAAATGGGCGAAATGAGGTATGCAGACAAAAAGAAAGAAGCATTTGTTAAACGTGAATTAACAAAATCCGCCTTTCTTTGTTCCTCCCTCCCTTATATCTAGTCTTCTCGTTCTGCTTACCAGAGTCCTGTTTCCTCTCCTCCCACAATCTATTTCTTTTCCCCTGCCATCCTCCTTTTCTAGCGTTTCATCTACACACACAGCCTTGACAGAGAACAGAATAGCGAGGCCTTATGCGAGGCTGATGTGGTGTTACAGAACGGTTATGGAGGTGAAGAAATAACCACAGTGTGTGTGTGTGTGTGTTTCTGACAGAGAACCAGTGCTCTTAAATACAGTAATTGTGGCTGGCTGTGTGATCGCACAGTGGTTAGATTTCTTTAATGTCAGAGGCAGTTTAATTACACCAAGTTAAATCCCTTTGACACGCACACACATGCACAAACACACACATACACACACTCTCTCTCTCTCAAGTAGCAGCTGATAATTAGAGTCTTGTATTTCAGTCCCCCCCCCAACTCACTTGTGTGCCAGGCAAACAGATTGCACGAGATTAAGGCCTGAAAATCTGCAGGGGGAAAAAAAGGAGACCACAAAAATAAATAAATAAATGAGTGGAAGTGATTAATTAAAAATGCATGCCCTGTGCGAATGAAAAGAACGGAAAAGAGGGAGGGATAGAGAGGCAGAGAGAGAAAGGCAGGGTTGAGTGTATTGAATTGGAGAGACGCTCGGTGAGGAGGACGTGTTTCAACACCGCCGAGAGAAGTGGGTGGAAGACAGAACGAAAGAGAGAGAGACGGGAGTTGGAAGTGTTTGTCTTTGCTGTTCTGGCTCCGTCGTGCACACATGCAAAGATGGACGGATACAGCGGAGAAAAGGTGTGATGATGTTGTGTCTTTGACTGTGTGTGTGTGTTGTGGGGAGCTCCAGCTGTGTCACATCAGCCAGTGTGATGGAAGAAACACTGCATGTCAACATATGTAGACTCTGCTCTTTCTAAGGTTTGTACTCCCTTCTTCTGTGTGTGTGTGTGTGTGTGTGTGTGTGTGTGTATGTACAAGGTCAAAGCATGTACTACTACTACTATGTAACTGTACGGATATTGATTGGATTAGTAGTATTCCTTGATTGATTGAAATATCCTGCCCACATGTTGTTCATGGTCATTGATTGGTGTTTCCAAAAACAGTGTGATTGTGCATACTTTTGTCATGTTTTCTACTAATCAAGTTCTCTACAGACATATTTGTGTGTGTGTGTGTGTGTGTGTGTGTGTGTGTGTGTGTGTGTGTGCGCACACGCGCGCAGGCGTGTGTTTACATCCCTCTACAGGTTTCATTTGATGATGGTTATATCTTCATAGCAGAGTAGGTAGAGGGCTTAGTGTGACCAGGCTCAGGCATTAATCCAGGTTAAACACTAAAGATACAGTTCTGGTATCACTGGTTAGGTTATTCTGCACAGCACTGAAAAACGATATTATATTATATTAATTAGATTAGATTTCACAGCAACATGTCTTTCCCTAAATAATGTCTGTTATTCAGAATAATCCAAACTGTTCACTCTGTTTTAATTGGAACTATTTTCTGATAAAGAAATAATCCTTTAAAAATGTGTTTGTTGTTTTTTGGGGGGAGTGGGGGAAGAGCTGAAACAAGTAGTTGATTAATCAGTTAGTCACTTGACAGTAGGCAAATTGCTTGTCCTCTATGACAGTTATTTATCTTTTGGTTTTAGACTGTTGGACAAATACACTATTAAAGACGTCACGTCGGACCAAATGATTAATCAATTATTATTAAAAAACATTCTGCAGATTGATGCATTAATGAAAATTATCGTTACTTGCAGCCCTAATTTGGGTGAACACACCCTTTTAAGGGACACATCTCACACTGTTCTTTGTCTCTCCTATTATTTTAATATTTGCTGTTTGTTTCTCTTTAAGTTCTTTTTTTTATCCCACTGCTGCCTTGTTTCACCTCACTGAATTTAACTTTGTGACACCGTTTCTCCACCCCCATCGTCACCCTTCTCTCTCTCTCACCTCCTTCTCTCGCTTCCTCTCGGCATTTGTCTTATCTTGAAGACATCCTTTATGCATATTTGATGCCTGCTGCCCTCCTGTAATAGGCTGTGTGAATGAAATAATGATGATGTAAAAGATATGTGCTGGATATTATTCTAGCGACTACTAGGACCACCCACCTGTCTAGCAGGTGCAAACTGGTGGTCATCTTTCTTACTCACAGGCTGTTCTCCCTCTCTTTAGGGGATGCACAGAGGAGTATGAGATGAAGACCATGGAGCAGAAGTCAGAACCTGAGCCTCTGGCAGCAGGCTACCGACCCTCCCCTCGCCCGACGTGGCGATGGGACAGCCCACCCATTCCTCCAGGGCTCCACAGTGCCCCCAACCCGCAGCGCTGGGCTCCCATGGGTCCCCCACCTCCTCCCCTTCCCCGCTCACACAAGGCCATGATGCCTGTTCCTTACAGGGAGCCGCAACACCTCAACTCTAAGAGGTGAGACTCAGAGCGCTGTGCTGGATTCAGTCACATTAGATTACAGAAGAGACCCAGCTGGGTTATTTATAGCATCAATATTAGCAATGATACAGTTTCTTTGTATTTCTACTCTGCAAGTAGTACCTGTCTCAGTACTACAGCTGATATTTTTAATTCTCTTTTTATACAGTAGACAAATATTAGTCATTCAAGAAAAATATAAAACCCTTTAAATGTTATAAATAAAACTGTATATGCATAGATAAAGGAGAACATATAAGTGCATTACGGTTCAACGGGACTCAGTCAGTAGAACTTCAATCTTTTGTTGTACCGTGATAGATGATGTTTTAGTCACTTAAAATTAGGCAATAAACAAAATATTTTTTTGTAGATATTTAACGTTGTGTCCTGTAGCAATAGCCTAGTTTAACACTTCTGAATCACCACCCACATTACTGATTGGTTCAGTGATTTAAATCGGTCTCATGTCATGCTTTTTGATCGCGTTTAATAAGAGCTTTGCAGGACGGGGACGTCATCTTACAACATAGCTAGTTAGCTACATCCATGAAAAATAACAACACAACCAGACCAATTGGAGATGAGACATACAGGTTGTAAATCGGTTTCAAAAAATGAAATGAATGAATGTTGACGTCTGCTGGATACATCACTTGCTAACAGTGTTGGGCAAGTTGCTCAGAAATTGTAATATATTACTAGTCAGTTATTACTACTTAAAAAAGTAATAATATTACTTTATTTATTACTGGGTGATAAAAGTAACTAGTTACTTTACTATATTACTTTCACTACCACCACCCCCGGATTTTCTGGCTGTAAGTTTCACGTTGCTGTGCTGCTTTAGCAGATGCTTCAATAAATTAGATGTAGAATTGTTCGCAGTTGAAAGCTTTTTGCTGGTCGCACAGAGTTTACAATGGACGACAATGTTCTTTGCATCTTAGACTCTGACACAATAATGGCAGCAGCTACTTACAGCTGTGGAAAGAACGCCTCTCTCCCTCGTTCTCCTTTCTTTCTTTAGCTTGTTGGCTAACAGCTGACTTGAACAACATAAGCTCTGGTGCTGCTGACCTGCAGTGCGGTCGCACATTCACGTCAAGGATGCTGCGTGCAATAAAGCAGTGTTACTTGGTTTAGTGACTGTAATAATATTACTGTTTTGGAAAAGTAATCCGTTACACTACTAGTTACTGGGAAAAGTAATATTATTACAGTAACGCCTTACTGTAATAATATTACTGTTTTGGAAAAGTAATCCGTTACTCTATTAGTTACAGGGAAAAGTAATATTATTACAGTAACGCCTTACTGTAATAATATTACTGTTTTGGAAAAGTAATCCGTTACTCTACTAGTTACAGGGAAAAGTAGTATTATTACAGTAACACGTCAGTAACACGTCAGTAACACTGCTCGCTTAAGGTAAAAATCCCACCTTTCAAACATGTCTGACGAAACGACGAGTCTGACTATCAGGCTGCTGTTGCAGTCATGAAAGTTATTCTGTTCATCATAAAATATTGTAGAAATAGTATGTGAATCCATGAATTGAAGGTATTTCTGGCGTCAACCATTTTGTAGAGATGCTTTTCTGCATGCAGCATGACATAAATAATTAGGAATCATCTGAAGGCAAACTATTACACAGTTTTTGAACCTTCAGTTGAATAAAAAAAAATTAAATTATTAAATTATACTGGCACTTCATGCAGGTCGTCATTTCAGCATCTGTCTGAAACAAGCTGTAGATGCTCCTGTCTCTTTAAGGCCCCGCCCTCCAAAGCCCACTGTCTTTTTATTGGTCATTGTCTTATGTGTTTATCAGGAGCGAGTTCAGCGCTGCCAAAATGTAGCAAAATGTTTTTTTCAACACCCTGTTGTGTACACAAGCACACAGCATTTCCCTACGTTTTAACACCGTTGTGTTTACAAACTGGTCGCAGCTGACTGAGTAACACCTGTGACACGCCCACCAAACAGAAGAAAACATACCTCGAAGCCCGTTGCGGAACATTGCAAAATATTGCAAGTAAACATGTCGTTCTATCCGAAAACGTTGCAGACCGATGCAAAACGTTTTGAGATTGACCTCGCCCCAGGTTGCCGCAGGGATAGGGCTGCATGTGGGCGTTTGTGGGCGTGACCAGCATTCTCTGCCTGGAGCAAATGACCATATATGGAAATCCGGCTCGGTTTGATCAAACATAAAACCAAGCTGCAGGTAGAAAAAACTGTTTAAAACAGAGCATTCAGAACAGGGGGATATCTGAGGTTTTGGCTCATAGGGATTTCTTTTAAATACTTTTACCTCCATTATTTGAAGCTTTGGTCATGTTTACCATGAACTTCTGACATTGTAACATTATAGATATGCCGGAATATATGAAAAAGCATAATAGGTCCCCTTTAAACAAGACAGGTTTTTAACTTACCTCCTTCGTCAATACTGAATATTTCAATTTTATGCACTTAAAATGTTTTAAGTGCATGCATGACCTTACTCACAAGACAATACTCAGTTTTCTCTGAAGTCTTCTGAAGGAATGAATGTATTTTGTTGTCAGTTGCACACACCTTACTTGGAACTGCTGTCACTAGGGCTGAACGATGTGCAAAAAAAATCCTGATGCGATAAAGTTTACAACCACCATTAAATCCTGACAGGTTCTAACTGAATCACATTTTTGCGATGTGTTTCTCACTTAGTTTAGATCAATGGCATCTTCCTGTATGTTCCTATAGCAGCCTCACCTCTTAGTGGTCTTGTTTGTTTTTCTTTTGTCTAACCATCATCCTCTTTGTGTGTCCTCCAGGCCAGTGAGCTACCCAGAGAACCACTACAGTCTGTCTCCTGCAGGAGGTGACAGGGTGCTGCCCTACAGAAACCCCTCAGCCAGCTTCTCCTCCCCCTCTTCAGGCCTGGTCGCCCTCTCTGCAATGGGGCCACCTGGTATCACACCAGGCCCCTTCGTACGCTACAAACCCTCACCTGACAGGTGTGTGTGCGTGCGCGTGTGTGTGGTCTTTTGTTCTCTGAGCTCTCCTCCATCACTCCTTTGATTTAGATCTTGATTAAACATGTCCAGTGTTACTCATAACAACTATTTTGTGTGCTGGGGGTGGATTATATATGTTCATAAGATAGGCTGACTAATGTGGCGCATTCAGGTCTGCAGTTAGACGTGTATAAACACAATGTCTCCCGGAGGAAGGATCTATTGTGTGGGTGGCTCTTCCTCACAGCGTCGTGGTTGATAACGCCTCACTCAACCAGTTAAATGTGTTTCACTCAACCGCCATCAAGATGCAAAACAGAAACCGAAATTCTCCTCTGCTCAGTCAAATCCAAACTTTACATTTTTAGGGCTTGCTTAGGAGTTTTAGCTTATTTGTGTGTTTGAGTTAATCCTCTCTTTGTTATATCATAACTGACTGTGGTATGAACGTGTTTATTAATCAAAAACCCTCCCTCCTCCTATGATCCATCTGTGTAGATATGGAACAGGACAGCGCCCCCTGCTGCCCTATGAGCCCCACCTCAGTGTGGACATCACCTCCAGCGGAGAGTCTTCCTCAGGCTTCACTAGTCAGGAGAGCACCATGGAGCGCTGCAAAACAGGTACATCACCTTCAATAAAAACATACAAATAATGCGCAACAAGGTGTATACCTGCTGCAATAATCACTGTTTGTTTAATTAACCATGGATCACATGACTAGTTGTGTGTATGTGAAAGTGGTCCTACATAGTGATGAACCCACAGAGAATTATCTCATTGTTTTGGTTTTTGGCTGCAGTGTTTTTTCTTTTGATTCAGTGTCTCAGCTATTTTCAGCAAAAAGCTCTTAAAAGCCACACACACATACCTGCTTAGCACCAAACAGACAACATTAGGGAGTAGTTAGTGCAGCATTTGGCAGTTAGAGACATTTATTTACTTCAGTTGTTGGTAGAAACCAAAAACAGAACTAAAAGGAGAGTGATTATTAGTTCATCAGGTGGCCAATTGAATGTATAAATGGGCAACTGTTTACTAACACGCTCGCCATATTAACTTAAAAAGTGTGTGGCCAAACAATAGTTTGTTGCAGGTTTGAAGTGAATGTCTTGAACTACATTAATGGTCTCTGTATAGTTTTGAAGTGTGTGTGTTGCACAGCAGAGTAGAGATAACAGAGTACAGTTGGTGGGTGGAGGTCAGTTTTAAATGTGCTATAAGTATTTAATCCTCTTTCCCAACCTTTGGAGGTTCAGTGTAATTTGCTTTAATCCTGTGAGTGTCTGGGTGTGTTTTCTGTCTAGAACCCCTCTGGCATGTCCCAGCGTCGTCGTCTCGGGGACCAGGTGGTGGAGGGGGACAGAGAAGACTGCACAAACAGGATATCCCTGGGAAAGACTCTCCAAACAGACACTCGAAGGTCAGTCTCGTCATCCTCCCAAGTCATTTGTTCATCTGACGCCTTCTTTGCCTCGTTGCCTCTCTGAATGTTGCCTCCGTGTCCTCTGCAGGGCGAGGCTCAGTACTCCAGCCACTCCAGCAGTAACACTCTGTCCAGCAACGCCTCCAGCAGCCACAGCGACGAGCGCTGGTTCGACGGAGGAGCCGGAGGAGAGCGAGGAGGCGGGGGTTGCCTCAGCGATGCAGCTGACCCCGACCCCGAACATATCAACAAGGGGGGGTCTAACGACAGTGGCATTGACGCCTCGACCCACTACAACAACACGCGCCACGGAAACATGTCCAACAGCCAGTCCCATAAGCCCGTGCACTGCTTCGCGACCTACAGCGGTATCCCGGAACTGTCCGTGGGAAGGAGCGGTGGCGGGGGAGAAGTTAGGAGACGAGAGTCTTCGCCCATCATACCAGGCAATCAGAACAAAGGGTACCGAACAAGGACGTTCCCGCCTCCTGGCTCCAGTGCTGAGAAAATGGATAGTTTCAAACCCAGGTAAGAGACCGACTCAGTGATATGAGATGCATCTTTTATGGCATGTTTAATGAAGTGAATATTATCCAACATCAATGAATGATGCGCTGGCTTTTATTATACAGAGAGTGTCGCATTCATCACTCTTGCAGTTTAATGCTGCTTCGTTTAATGTACTTGGTAATAACACAGACTTTTAACAACTTTTGAGGAATCTTTAGTGAAAGATACACCAAGCAGCAGTTATGATACATGAAAATGTGTCTTTTAAAGGTAACATTAAGGATTCAAGCAGCCTAATCCTTGTGAAACCTACAGACCATTGCGTGATGTCCTGCTGGTGGACTTGCCTCCCCCACATTATAAATGCATGCAGGCATAAAACACACAAACATGCACGGCGTCCGACCACTCTGTGTCGGATTAAAACAATCGGTGTTTAAACCCTGAGTGCCCTCGACTCTGATGTCACAGTCTGTGCCTGGGTTGTGTTGGACCATCAACATGATATAAACACATATCACACACAATTAAAACAACAGACTTCAGGATGCAGATGATTCGTTACAGGTATTGTGCCAACAGTTTGACAGACTTAGTTGAATGGTTTGTTTTGATTAGAGGATTTTTTTTTCCTAAATGATAAAAGGGTCAGTTGAGTAATTTAGATGTTTAAATAGAAATATTGGTTTGTTTTGCATTGGTGAAGAATTGGTTTGTTAAGTAACGGACTTTTAGGGTTGCTTGTAGTTTTGTTTTGCTGTCAGTGGTTTCGTATGAGCAGTCAGTAGCATAGTATCTGTTGTGTTAACACTACCTGGACCTAAATTGCATACTCCATCTTCATTGTCTGATCAATAAAGAGGGAAGGAAGGTGTGTGCTACAAGAAAAAATTATGCTTATGTGGAAAGAAAACGTACAGTATATAAATAGCAATAAGAGAGTCAATTTACCTTCTGTAAGCTAATAGGTGCTTCTTCTGTGCTCTGGTAGTAGTTGGGCATTTTGGGAAATGAGGGTCATATCTGCCTATCAAAGATGAAGCCACAGATGGTTAGCTTAGTTTAGCATAAAGACTGGAAACAAGGGGGAAACAGCTAGCCTGGCTCTGTCCAAAAGTAAAAAAAATAAACTATAACTAATTAACACACTTTAGGGGGACTGGTGGACAGATTTTTGTGTATTTCCCCCATGTCAAAATGCTGAAAGTCACTGCTAATAGATAAGTCTTTTTGTGATATAAAGTATGATGATTGATCCTGCAAAGGGGCAAATAATTATACCATAATGTAAAATGAAGTGTTTGAACACATAAGTTAATATTTTGTTGTGTTGGAGAATATGATTTTCTCTGCACGTTCCTTGCTGTGATCTAAATATCTACTTCTGTTAAATTAAATTAATTTACCTTGCATGATGGTGTGTAACAAGCTATCTGTTTTTTGACATAATATTATTGCCTAATATTAATTACCGTCCTGTACTACATACTGTACGTGTGGCCAATCATATTTGTCTGGTCAGTATTACCTAATTTCTGTCTAATTATTCACACCAAGTAGCTCGTCTCTTCAAAAGTTCCCACCATATCAAGTGAACTGCATTCAAGACAGCGGTTTTTCATGTTGTTGTTTTACTCCATCATTAATCACGTGTTGTATATCTCTGTGTCTTGTCCGTCCTGTCAGGGCCTACACACCTCAGGGTTACAAGACTCCGACAGCTGAGAAAGCCCGGCCAGTCCGAGCCGCTACGACAACACCCACTTCAGCCCAGTTAAGCTCCACACCGCTGTCCAGCTCTGCCCCCAAGGCCTTCTATGGGAAGAGCAGACAAACCGCCTGGCAGACTGAAGATACCAGCCCGTCACCTTCAAATGCAACCACAACATGCAGCAACGGCAGCAGCAAGAAGTACGTTAGTGACTGAGAACTTCAAATGACCAGCTTTGATTTAGAAACATTTTCTTCACTAATGACGTGGGGGTCGTCACCACGTGTCTCCACTCGCTGAGTGACAATCGTATTTCTCCCAACAGCTTATATTTTTTTCCTGGAACATCACTAATGTTTAAATGTGAGTTTAGAGAGCACACTTAGAAAGTGCATTTAAAACTCTCAAACAACTTAATTCTACCTCAGTTACCATCAGTTTAAACACAGCCAAAATCATTGTGATAAATTTTTTTAATGGTGTGAGTTTGCTCGTTCTGACTTTGCCAGGAAAACTCTATCTTCTTTTTATGCAAAAAAGGATCATATACTAATTTTATGCCATAAAAACCAGTGATTCCCAGCCTCTTTGGCCCTTAAAACAAAGCAATGTCTACTTGCGACGTCACTCGTCACTGGATGCATGTCTGTCGGTGGTGACCAATACCAAGATTAGAGGAGAGTATGAAATAATAAGCATAACTCTGCAGCAGAAAAATGTTTTCCCTCTGCTGTTAATAATCTCAACACCCCTCAGGATGGGTTGGGAACCACAGTTATAAAACACAATGCTAAGGTCATTCAGTTATAGATTAGTAATTAAGTGTAAACATGGAACAGGTTCAAAGACATTATGGACCTTAAACCAGCTACTAAATTGTTTGAGTCACTGTGGAGAGACACAGGAAAAAGACACGATTAAGAAAAGACATGCTGTCTTGTGTTTTTGGTGCTCACGTCTTGTGTCTCCAGGCAGGTGGATACGAACTCAAAGAACGTGTTTGGTCAGCCTCGGCTCCGAGCATCACTGAGGGACCTGCGTTCTCCACGACGGACATACAAAAGCACCATCGAAGACGACCTGAAGAAACTGATAATCATGGACAACCCGGGAGAGGCGCCACAAAGAGATCCCGTGAGGAACACAATAACACATGCGGACCATAACATCAGGCTTCAGTCGACAGTCTTACTTTGACGAATGTGCACACACACTGGTCTGATCTCTGTCACTTTTCTCCCTGTAGTCTCCCAGACGAACCTTGCAGCGCACCTTTTCAGATGAGTCACTTTGCAGCGGGCGCAGGGAGGCCAGCTTCGCCAACTCTGAGAACCAGTCGACCCCCACTGACGTGCTGTTCACCTGCACGCTGCCCACACGCAGACACGCCGTCTCCTCCAACCACATACAGAGCAAGAAGGGTGAGTTTAAACCGCAACAACTGTTGTCTGCTGTGTGGAATTTGTCAGCTGCCAAGTTTTATTCTGTGTGGATCCAAGGAGGAATCCTGTTAGGATTGTTTTGTTCACATTCATAACTCTTGCACTTATTTCATGCAGAGGTGTGTTTACTCACTGCAGCTGTTGTCCTCTCCTGTCCTTCAGTGCCTCTGTCTGCCTCGGAGCTGTCTCTCTCAGAAGTTAGAGACAGAGTTCCCCCACTGAGGAGGCTCGATCCCGGGCTGATGCCTCTCCCTGACACAGCCTGTGGATTGGAGTGGTCCAGCCTGGTCAATGCTGCTAAAGCCTACGAAGGTGAGGACGCAGACACTTCAACATTAGGTTTGTTCAACTTAAGCACAGTGTGGGATTCTGGATGTAATATGTGGGGTTTTCTGTTGTGGTTTAGACCAGAAATTCTTGAATTGCACAACTGCTAACATTAACTAACCTCATATCAATGTATGTATGGTTTTATCATTGTTTAACAAATCTAAATTTACCCAAAATATAAGTGCTCTGTCTGTAACGATGAATTTACATTTTAAAAAGTGGGATTTGTTGGGTATAATTAACCAGTGTAAAATATGAAATCCCTGGTGGATGTGAGACATTGTCTGGATGTTTGGGGGTTGGTCGGTTTCACCTTGTCTCTGTCTACTGTCACACGACACTCCTGGGAAAGAAGAGAGACCTGTGCGTTCAGATCGTACACCTTTGTTTCCCAGCCACTGTTTCTTTCTTGTCTCCCTTCTGTCCCTTGTGTCCTCTGCAACCACGACTATCACAGCACAGACAAACACACTAGACTCAAGCCAAAACTTGATCCACAGCTTTACCTGCCTGCTGTGTGCTGAGGTGTGATTGTGTCATGTTTCCCCAGAGACACATGAGTAAAAAGACTAATTTATGCAGCGTTTAGAAAGTACAATTATGTGTCTCTGTTGCAGCACAAAGAGCAGTTTCCCTCTTCTCGCTGACTGAGCCGCAGGTTGGAGGTCCAGACATGAGACCAGTCATCAGTCCGGTCCAGTTCCACACTCCTCAGACACCTCGAACCACGCCAACCTTCAGCGGGTACATCCTCACACTTACACAGACAAAACAAATAGTATTTGTTGTAAGTAGGAAAACACCTCTAAGTATTCATGCTTTATGTCTTAACTTTGTCACTACTGCCACCTTGTGGTAAATTACATAACTGCCAGGTTGTTTACTCCTGTGTAAACAGTTGGCCGTTTGAGTTGTAGTGCCAGTTTCTGTGTTGCCAGAAAGGGTGTTTATTTTGTTTAACAGTGAGCTGCCAGAGTAAGATATTGTGTATAAGTGAGTAAGTTAAAACGGTCTTATGCAGGAAAGAACACAAACACCGGTAAAACCAGTCCTCTCTAACCACCTGCATAACCTGTACAGCAGTGAGTGTGTATTTGTTTCAATGTAATGGTGTGTGTGTGTTTTCAGCGACGAGGTGCCCAACGATTTGTCTGGTCGGCTCTACCACCTGGAAGTGATGTTAAAACAGCTGAACACTGATCTGGAGAGAGTGAGAATCTTTTGTTTTTCTCAGTTTTGCCTTTTATTTAACAGTTAAAAGTTGAAGGTCTTGAACCCAGAACATGATAGTAATGTTGCACATGCCCACTAGGATCCCCACTTTTAAACATTTTTTTAACTTTTACTCTCACACTGTAATAAATCAACTTTTTACTAACGTGTATGTTCAAGCTACTCAACAGATTCTCAGCTTTTTTGTTTGTTTGTTTACTTTAATTTAAAGGAATAATTTGACCAAAATATTTGCCTACCAGCATCTCTAAAGCTCTTAAACCAGCTCTTAAAATCTTATTTGTTTAAAACGGACGTTGTGGCTTTATCAGGGGTTATGTGCTGCTTGTAGGCAGATTTTTGTTACCAGGCTAGCTGTTTCCCCTTATTTGCAGTCTTTATGCTAAGCTAAGCTAACAGTCTTCTGCCTGTAGGTTCATATTTAGCTGACAGGTATCAATTCACTCATCTAACTCTCTGAAGGAAAGCAAATAAGAGTGTTTTCCCAATATATCTAACTATTGCTTTAAGAACAAAAAAAATTAAAGTCCCATCCATTGTCCAGTCACCATTGCTTTTCGTCTCTCTACCACCAGGAGAAGCAGGATAAAGTCGTTCTGCTTGCAGAGATGGCCAACCTGAGAGAGAACAACCAGCGCCTGCAGGAGGAGAGCCTAACAGCCAGTGAGCAGCTGCGCAAGTTCAGCAGAATTTTTACTAACCTGGACAAGACAGAGAGCGACCACGAGGCTCACTCCTTAACACATGAAGCTGACTCAAAGAGGGAGTGATGTCGGCACCTGCAGAAGAAGAAGAAGAAGAGTGTGAGACACTGAGTATGGGCGTCTGTGAGAGAAATACTCTGATTGCTCCTGATTTCTTGCACACACAGGGGCGGCGGGGGTCACAAAGATGTCACCTCACTCAGCTCCAATTGGACTGCCTTAAACCATAGAGATAGCCAGGAAAAAAAGACGATTGTGATTTTTAACACTCCCAGAAAATCTCACTAAGCCTGTGCACAGAGCAGAGACCCTCCCTCTCTAGTCACTGAGCCTGTTTATTTTTATAAACTGAAGTCTTATACACATGTCATATATGTAAATACATATGCTACTATGCCAGAGGAGCGAGTAGGAGAGGAGAACCTGACTGTGTTAGAGAACACTACATCACCTGGAGAGGCCTAATACTGTTCCTGCAGCGAATCAGCCAAAAAAGAAAAAAGACTCACTACAGACTGCATCTCCCAGAATGCACTAGAATTAATGGAGGCTCTACAGACATGGTACTGCAGATAGATGCCTGTGTGGTACAATTCTCATGTATCATTGTTATCTATATTGTACTGATATTGTAAAACGGTCGTACTAAAGAGGTGTGTGTGTGTGTGTATGATGGTACAGCGAATACTCAGAAGCATTATGGCACAACAGTGTTTGTGCTCAAGGCAAGATGCATTTTATTACCCTTTGGTGTGAGTGTGTGAGAAAACGGTTGAATGTTGCTGGTCTGTTAAAGGACGTTTGAGTGATGAACAAACTAGTTTACTGTAATATGAAACTTGCCGGCCACAATATTTTTCTTTCCTCCGTTTACATGGATGAACCGTGGCCCTTTTTAGATGTGAAGTAAGCCATCAGTGAGTGTTGAGCGAGTGTAAATGGACGATGTCATGAAGCTCAGTGACATAATGGTATCATATCTCTAATGTAGTGCATTGTTTTGAATTTTTATGCAGTGCCCTGTCATCTCAGATCTAAATGTAACGTTACTGGATAATTATTTTAACCTTCAGTCATTATAGCACAGTATCTGCTTTGAAATAGTCTTTTTTTGTAATATTTAAAACAATATTTTGGGGAAATACGCTTTATGGTGGAGAGATTTGATACCGTCAGTATCTGGAAGACTGGAAATGGGAAAAGATGGCTAGCCTAACTCTGCCCAAACGTCATAAAGTCCGCCTACCAGCACCTTTAAAGCTCACTAATTAACACATGTCGTTTGTTTAATCCCAAAACAAAAAATAATTTTTAGTGCAAGGAACCTATTTTTCTGTGTTTTTGAGGGGCTTAGGATGTCAGAAAACATGAACACTTGCTTCAACCTAAACCAGAGGTTTTCAAAGTGGAAGGCGGGATAGAGATTTTTTTATTTAAACCTTTATTTAACCAGGAAAATCCCATTGAGATTACTAATCTCTTTTTCAAGGGAGTCCTGGCCAAGACAGCGGCACAGATCACAACAATTCAGTACATTTCAGACAATTTCATAACAATTTCATAAAACTATTTAAAAACATTTACAAACCATAGATTTCATCTCCAAACCTTTGAGCAAGAGTTTAAATTGGCCTATGATATTAATAAGCAAACAGCAACACTAAGCTGTCTTGGCTTAATTCTGTCTGTCTATGTGATTATTAATATAATTATGATCCCTTGGGCATCCAGGACTTGAGCAAAACTAACCAAGTAAAGTAAGGGAGGGGCACCTTTTTCCAAGTTTTGTCTGAGGGGAGGCCCACAGTCTCAGACTCTGAAAACCCCTGCACTAAACCCAACAGGAAGTCAGCCAGTTTGAATTTAATGACATTTTTCTCCATACTCAAGCTCCATACTTTAATGAACTCCTCCTAGAGAATGAATACGATTGACTACAAATTCGTGCATTCCCTTCTTTGTAATTTCTAAATTGCGAAGTATTTTAGGATTCATCAAACAGCATTGTTATGGCAATGCAGCGAATTTTGATGTTCTAAAATAAATAAGCGTATTCACAGATTGAGTGTTTCAACTTAAGAAACAGTGGCACATCAACACACATTGTCAGATCTTTTCCACATTTTACATGTTTGAGAACTGCAGTGTCCAATATTCAGTGACTAAATCATAGTTGTCGCTCTTGCGTTTGGGTGCAAGGACCTGTTCAACACTGATTTTAATTTTATTTGTTTTAAATCACACACTTGATTTTGATAGCTGTGCCCTCATAGTATTTAGATATAAAAACAAACCATATATAACTTGTCACTTAGTGAGCTTGCTGGATTTTGCTACCATTGGATAGAGCAAGGACAGTCTTTATGCTAAGCTAACGGACTGTAGCTTTATTGTTAACGGCTAAACACGAGAGTGATGTCAGTCTTCTCACCTGTGCTAAAAAGTGAATAATGGTATTTCCCAAAAATATTAAGCTATTTTAATAATCGCGTCTTCTTTGCGTACTAATGAAAATTAATTTGTCGCCATTAACGTGAGCTTGTAGAAGAAAACATTTACTGTAGATGAAAGACGACACTGAAACTCCTTTATATCAGAACCAGTCTGTCTGTGTGTATGAGAGGATTTGTCCCTGTGTTCTGTGATAACCCAAATGAACACTAAATATGCTATTTATACAGCTAGCTTGCTTAATGATATTGTCTACTATATCTATTTTTCATACAGAAATAATGTGCGTGTGTGTGTGTGTTTCGGATGCTGGTACTGAATGGACAATTCATCCCTGCAGAGGATGGATCTTATCTTCCTGTGTCAGTTTAGCTATTGCTGATATATATTTAAAAAAAAAAATTTAAAAAGTAAATGATCATGTCCTGCTCTGCCCTGTAGAACAAATACAAATACTCCCTGGTCTGACTGGAACTGTTGAATTTTCAATCCCAACTCACTCAGGTTCCTCGAGATGCTGTTAATGACACCGTGGGCGATGTGAGGCATTGTAGCCTGAGACGGTTTTGCCATACTGTTTATATCATTGTAGTGATCCCTTTAATATTTCTGGGTGTATCAAGTCATTGTATGCACATTAGCAGGACTGTTTTTTTTATGGCAATATTTGGTTTTTATTGTTTAATACTTTGCTTTTTAAGTATTTAATTAGCCTCAAACAGACAAACAGTTTCTTTAATTATCAATAAAGTTGACTGTATCGATATCTTGATATAAATTTACACGTAAGACATCTGTATCGCCCACTCCTGCTACTAAAAAAAAAATTTGTTTCTTTCACCGACTCAAGAGGGATAACAAGTGTTAGTAGTAGTCAAGAAAACTGCCATTTCTTCCTCAGCCCGTAATTAAACTCTGGATTTCATGTTCTCACTTCTCCCTTTATTCCTTTGCAGCCAGTTTCACTCAACTTTAACTTTGATACCAGTAACGTTTATACCTGAGCCTATTTGGACCTTTCTGTTTGGGTTCAGGAATACTAACAATAATACCTGACAAATTCAGGCTATAATGTGGTTCAGAAAAGAGAAGCTCCTTTCTATATTCTGCTTTCGTGTTTGGACGTTTTTAGTTCAGTGACACACTCCTGTTGTTCCCCCTTTAGCAAATCCTTCAGTCATGCAGCTTCGCAGGTGTAGCTGTGGTTTTAGTATCTGCAGGTCTGTTTGCTTTTGTAAAAGGGGCTTGGTTTCTTTATTTTAATACATTTTGTTCATGTTATGTATAATTGTAAGCTATTTATAGCAAACACATCCCTGTTGAACAAATCAATAATGCATTATGGTTAATGGTAATATTGTATAACTAGATTTGTTTTTTAGATGTTAAATATTTTGATAATTTATTTTTTAACATTCCCACTGTTGCCGACAATAGTGAAGATGAGGGTACTGTGTTTTTATTTGTGTATGCGGTTTTACGTCTGATCTCTGTACAAAACTGATTTGTATGATTCCTCATTATTTTCCTGCGTCTTTCCTCTGTGCATCGGTACTTTCTGCTTTGTGGCGGGGGTACGTGGTGCATAGAGAAAAGGGTTTGGTTTCTTTGGGTTATAATAATAACTTGTACATTTAAAAGTGTAAATTATGTTTTCATTTTATAAAAAATTATATTAAACTACTATCAGAATATGTCAAATTGTCACTTTTTGAAATTTAAGACTTAAATGTGTTCATTATCAATTTAGCTGAAATGCACTTAAATTGTTTTTCCTTTGAACAAAAATTCAAACAAATCCTCACATTAAAGAAAAGCTGGAACCAGAATGTTTGAGATGATAAATCAATATTTAATGTCAATCGCCTCAACACCAGAGTGAGGGGGGAGTGTTACTGAAACTCTGACTTGAACACGCAGCACTAATAATCAAGTTCTGTATGACTATTTAATTCTCAATGCTGCCTTTGTTTTATGTTTTAGTAAATTGTCAGGCAAAACAAGCCATTTCATTACATCTCATCTCCCACTAAACACTGCAGCTGTTTGCCAACATTTTTAAAAATCACAACAATTTGCATGTAAAACTTTATTTTCTATAACAAGCTATCTTAACATACAGTAAAATACAATTTGTAGTTAAGTACTTGCGTTGACATAAGTGAGTTGACAGAACACTTTAATAAAATTAAATTCTATACATTCGACTCAGTGCAGTCAAGTACAGTCAATGAAAAAGGTTTTGAATTGTTAGACGCACTTATGTATCAGGCTTCAAGTGCATTTACAGGTAAGAGTGTAATTTGAGCGGATGTGTTTTAAGATCCACACATGAGGCAGTCGTCTCGGTTCTCCAGAGAACACACCATGGCAGCCATGTTACGCTCTTTGACCTCCTCCTCTGAAGCCTTGGCCGGCTCCTGCGCCTCCTTCAGCTTCTCCTTGTTCAGGGTGAACTGGATGGGGTTGGCAGCAGGCTTTGTCCTCAGATAGTACATTCCTGTCTTCAGACCCTGTGGCGAGAGGGAGGAGTGAATTTTTTACGTTATTGAATTTACAGTAGTTCTCATTCTTCATCCTTCTGTTCAGATTCATCCTCCCGGTCTCTCTTACCTGCTTCCAGCCGTAGAAGTGCATGCTGGTCAGTTTGCCGTAGTTGGGCTCGGCGATGTGGATGTTCAGGGACTGGCTCTGGTCAATGAAGGCACCGCGGTCGGCGGCCATCTTGAGAACAGTTTTCTGGGAGATTTCCCACACGGTTTTATACAGCTGCTTCAGATCGTCTGGGATGCCATCAATGGCCTGTTGAGAACAAATAAGAAGTTTGTTGATTGTCGATTCATTTTACAAGCAAAAATGCCAAACATTAGTAAATATAATATTTTGGGGTTCAGATGGTTGAACAAGCAGCCATTTTAATATGTAACCTGAGCTCTATGAATTTACGGTGGGCGATTTTTACTATTTGACATTTCAAGGACAAAAATCATTAATTGGGAAAATTATCAGCAGATTAATCAAGATTCAATAAAAGTTATTGTTAGTTGAAGCCTTACACATACTGGACCTTGGTTCTCCCAATAGCAACTTCAAGTATTTCAGAAATTATTTCTAGTTAATCATGATCAGGGGAACAACTAACATCTATTTCCTTAATCGATTAATGTGCAGATTATTTTCTAACTTTAACCAAGTTACTAAAATGTCAATCAGACCTTTCTAGAGCCCAAAGTGACCAAGAGCCCAAAAGATCTATCATTAACTGTCATAACACAAAAGCAGCATATCCTCACATCTGAGAAGCTGGAGCCAGAAGATGTCTGGCACTTTTGCTCAATTTATAATAATAAAAAATCAGTTGTGTTAAGTGGATTTTCTTTTTCAATCCAATCCACTTTTATAAAACACTGTTGACTAAAGTGCTGAACACAGTCTACAAATATATAACATACAATAAAAGGCACAACAAAGAAAATTAATAACAATAAATCACAAAAAATACAAAACTGAAAGGACAACCCTCAAACTATATTAAAAGCCAAAGAAAATAAATGAGTTTTAAAAACAGAAAATGACTCAGTAAGTCTAATATGTAGAGGCAGCTCATTCCAAAGTCTCAGAGCTGCGACTGCAAACGCAGTCACCTCTAGATTTACGTTTAGATTTAGGGACCAGCAGTGCCTGATCAGCCGATCGGAGCGAACGAGATGGACTGTAAGGGCACAAGTAGATCAGACAAATACTGGGGGGCCAAGTCATGCACAAAATTAAAAACAAAATAATTTTTTTTTTTTTTTTTTTTTTTTTAAAATCGGTACAACAGTGCACTGGAAGCCAGTGTAAGGATTGGAGAATGGCTGAAATATGGGCAAATTTTTGAGTTCCAGTTAAAAGACGAGCAGCTGCATTTTGAACTAGTTGTAATCGTGCCATAAGTGATTTGTTAACACCACTATAGAGTGCATTACAATAATCTAAACGAGTGATGATAAAAGCATGGATTTGATCGAGTAATCGTTGCAGCTCTAATCACGGCTCATTTACTTTATTTAGTCTGAAGCAGATATCAGCAGATAATCACCTTGACCCTAACCCTACATTACCTGAATGGACCCGTTGTGAGCTATCAGCTGGTTCTTCATCTCCTCGCTCCACAGCCCCCTCTCAGTCAGGTCTTTGAGCAGATGAGGATTCACGATCTGAAACTCCCCAGAGAGGACCCTGCGGGTGTAGATGTTGCTGGTGTAGGCTTCGATGGACTCATTGTTGCCCAGGATCTGGGCGGTGGAGGCTGTGGGCATCGGGGCCAGCAGCAGGCTGTTCCTCACGCCATGCTTAGCGATCTTCTCCTTCAGCAGCTTCCAGTCCAGCAGGTCGGTGGGAGTCTTCTCCCACATGTCGTACTGGAGGATGCCCTTGCTGACAGGAGAGCCTTCGTACGTCTCATAGGGGCCGAGCTCAGCGGCCAGCTCGCAGCTAGCCTCCAGGGCGGCGTAGTAGATGGTCTCAAAGATCTGAATGTTCAGTAGCTGAGCCTCGGGGCTTTCGAATGGGTAACGCATGAGGATGAAGGCATCTGCCAAACCCTGGACACCGATTCCTATTGGCCTGTGACGCTTGTTGGACTTTTCCGCTTCAGGCACTGGGTAGTAGTTAATCTCAATTATCTTGTTCAGGTTTTTCACGATTACTTTGGTCACGTGTGCTAGCTTTTTAAAGTCAAAAGTCCCCTCAGGGGTGACGTACATGTTGAGAGCAATGGAGGCCAGATTACAGACGGCCACCTCATCGTGGCTGGTGTATTCAACAATTTCTGTGCAAAGGTTGCTGCATTTGATGGTACCCAGATTCTGCTGGTTGCTCTTCCTGTTGCAGGCATCTTTGTACAGCATGTATGGCGTACCGGTTTCTGTTTGAGACTCTATAATGGCGTGCCACAGCTGCTGCGCCTTCACCACACGCTTGACCCTCCCTTCCTTCTCGTATGTGGTGTAGAGCTTCTCAAACTCCTCCCCCCAGCACTCGTCCAGCCCGGGGCACTCACTCGGACACATCAGGGACCAGTCTTGGTTGCTCTCCACTCTCTTCATGAACAGGTCTGGGATCCACATGGCGTAGAAAAGGTCTCTGGCTCTCTGTTCCTCCTTTCCTGTGTTCTTCTTCAGCTCCAGGAAGTCAAACACATCGAAGTGCCAGGGCTCCAGGTAAATTGCGAAGGCACCGGGTCTCTTGTTGCCACCCTGGTCAACATAACGCGCCGTGTTGTTGTAAACTCTCAGCATGGGGACTAGGCCGTTGGAGTTGCCGTTGGTGCCGGCGATGTAGCTCCCCGTTGATCGGATGCAGCTGACCGCCACACCGATTCCTCCAGCTGACTTGGAGATGAGGGCGCATTGCTTCAGCGTGTCATAAATGCCTTCGATGCTGTCATCTTTCATGGCGAGCAGGAAACAGCTGGATAGCTGTGGCCTGTTGGTTCCTGCGTTGAAGAGCGTAGGGGAGGCATGGGTGAACCATTTCTCCGATAGCAGGTTGTAGGTCTCGATGGCTGCGTCGATATCCATTTTGTGGATCCCAACGGACACTCTCATGAGCATGTGCTGCGGTCGCTCGGCCACTTTGCCATTGATCTTCAACAGGTACGACCGCTCCAGCGTCTTGAAGCCAAAGAAGTTGTAGGAGAAATCTCGGTCGAAAATGATGGCCGAGTTGAGTCGGTCCTTGTTCTCAAGAACAATGTCAAGCGTCTCCTTTGAGATCATGGGAGAGTGCCGTTTGTTTAAGGGGTTGGTGTAGTTGTACAGGTCCTCCATCACGTCACTGAACACCTTCTTCGTCTCTTTGTGCAGGTTTGAGACTGCTATCCGCGCAGCGAGGATGGCATAGTCGGGGTGTTTAGTGGTGAGAGTGGCGGCAATCTCTGCTGCCAACGTGTCGAGCTCCACAGTGGTGACGCCGCTGTACAGACCCTGGATCACCTTCATCGTAATCTGGGCCGGATCCACAAAGTCGGGGTTCAGCCCGTAGCACAGCTTCTGGATGCGAGAGGTGATTTTATCGAACATGACGCGCTCTTGGCGTCCATCTGAAAAATATACAAATAAAAACACATCTCATTTAACCCAATCACCGCTGTGTAATGTTGACAGCAAAATTATACAAATCAATAAATGGTAAAGATGAAACTGCTGGCTGCCTCAAACAAACAACAATCAATCATGATAAATCCAGTGTTGTTTTAATGAAGCAATACATTTAAAGTAGATACATAATTTCATATAAATATCAATTCACTTCTGACATTCAGGTTTTGCAGCTTGTGTTTTTTTCTTGGATTGCTTTTCATTCAATTTTAGTTCAGCATTTGATAAAGTAAATACAAAAATCATAATAGTTCATCCAAATATTAACACTTGCATGGTGTTAACACTGATTATTTAACTACTAATCACTGGTGGACCAAGTATTCAGATCTACTTTTACTTGAGTAAAAGTTACATACTATAGCAAAATCCTGCATTCAACATTTTACTTTAGTACAAAAGCATCAAAACATATTGAAAATAGTACAAGTAGTCATGCAGAATGGCCCATTTCAGAATATTTTATTCCTAGATTATAATTTGTGAAGCATTAATGTGAGAGCATCGCTTTCATTTTGCAGCTGGTGATAGTGATTGTAATTACTTTACAA